ATACGCGGCTGGGCCTTTTAACCGTGGGCTTAATAACCGGCGACTACTGTACGACCAAAGCTCTAGCCCACGGAGTTATCGAAGCCCCACCGAGACTCATGAGTTTAATCACACTTGGACTGATTTTTCCACCCAGCCTACTGCAAGGTACGGGATTCTCCAATTCTGATACAGTAAGCTGACTGCCCAAGCATTCAATCTAGAATCCGCCAGATGAATATCAGGTACACTTTAGTATTATGGGGGATTTGGCAGATTTCACTAATTCATTTCATCCAATTTCGATTAAGGGGGGGGGGTAGATTTAAGTTTAAGGTTAGAGTTAAGGTCAAAGTTGGGATAGAGGCTCGAGATTTTGTTACGGTTTGGGCTCGTGGTAGCTGGAGGCTGTAGGATAGGGTTAGGATCGAGATTGCAGGTACTGTCTATGTTAAGTCAGGGTTCAGACACAGGAATATTTGACCTTCGCGAGGTCACCTGTTTAAGTCTGCGGGACGTTTCTATTCCCGTGTCGTGTTTGGCTGGTCATTCCAGTCATCCTTACCCGAAAGTGCTGCCATGGCAACGCATTCCCACGAGGATATGATTTTGCGCACTGAAGGCTTTTTTATACGGCTCCTAAAAGTGCGGAGCTTGCAATTATCTGGAAGTTCTCGAGTTGGGTTACTCTTTACGGGTTACTCAGTACTGCTCTATGGGGCATTCAGTCTACAAGCGTAATTTGTATTTCAACCTCACGGTTAACCCTCACCCTTCCCCGATGTTGCCAGGCGGTAAGAAACTCCGTTGTGTAGGCTCCCTCTCACTGTGCCCTTACTGAACTATGAGCGATTTGTCGATCAACCTCGTGCAACAAAAGCTAATTCAATAATATGCAAGAACATGTTGCAGTAAGCTGAAGTATAATTTGTTGTGTTGGCTTTTCGTGGGTCCCTATCTACATTGCCTGACTCATAGGAATTATGTTTGGTGTATTTGTCACGGCGTCTCATAGACTAAATAATATGTCTTAACCCCATCATGGTACTGAGCTTGCAGCCCCCTTACTGTGGAGGGTTGCTTGCCACGTGTAGCCTATCTGCTCTTTTTGGATGTCCTCCACCTTCCATAATGAAGATGGCAGGGTTTGCGTGAGTCAGGTTGTTGCAGCGTAGAATTCACACCGTCATCCAATATGCCCCGGGTTTCCAGTGGTGCGAATGAATCCAGTAAGCCTCCAGACCCACGGCAGCGCAAAGGCTGTTTTCGGTGCCCGAACTAGGGTTCTTTGAATACCTTCAGCGACTGTTTCCCTTTGCATTTATTTCCTCTTGCTCATAGATGAAAGTGGCTGTGTTTATTAATTGACTAGGTTGTAAAGCCGACTGCGAGAAATGTTTCAACTATCCAGTTGACCAAATTGTGAAAATCTTGCGGCCTCGGCGGGAGTCGAACCCACACAGTGATGCCGTGAGTTTTTCACAATTAGGTCAGCTGAATCATTCAAATCTGCCAAACCCCCCAAATAATTGATTTAGCCTAGTAGTCATTCTAGTGGATTCTAGATGATTGCTTAGAAAATCCTGCCTGCGCATTCTGCTTGCTGAATCTGTAATGGTGGATTCCCTGCGATCAGTAGGTTGCGCGAGTAAATCGATCCAAGTGTGATTAAATTCACAGCTCATGGTGAGCCTCGTAGCTGAATGGTAGAGCGTTGGCTGCGCATGAGGCTTCCGTGCTGTGTGGATTTGACTCCCACCGAGGCCGCGAGTTCTTCACAATTGGGTCAAGTTAATTATTCAAATCTGCCAAACCCCCCTTATAATTTCAGCTATCACCGACGTTGAGTCCTAGTAGGCAAACGGCAGAAGCTTAAAAAAATGTAAGGGGCAAACTCCGAGCTGCGCGTTCCCTCCACAATGAACTGTGCAGCAATGGAATGCCTTCCAATCTCTGCGACTCAAACCCAGACGACTTCTTGGCGGTCACCGGTTCCAGAGTATACTTCAGCTTAAACACAGACGCATCTTGCGAATAGGTAGTGCCGCATCATCTGTTAAGTGACAATCTTGTCATGTGGACTTACAATAACATTCAATGTATTTTAGTAACAGTTAATAATATCATATTTGCTGGATAACGGACGTACCGGTGTGTAGGACGCTAACCTGACGTTTTCCTTCTAATTGATGCTTTTAACAGGTTACTGTAGTTATCAAAGTCAATTACCTATCTCCTCAACTATACCGACATGGATGGTCTTACCCCTTCAAGTTATCGTTTCCCACTCCGCCTCTAATGTTCTCTTGTCTCGGTCCGTTCTTCGTTGGTAGGCTGGAACAAATCCTAACGTGATACCCAGTGTGGTTGGGAGTGTCTCCAGTGCAAAAAACAGTGTTCTCCAGAATCTGAAGTCTGTTTTCGGCAGCTCCGTTCCCCCCGTCGACGATTCCAGCCATCCTTCTGCCGCCCGCCCTTTGACTTCGGAGGTGGAGGAGGCCAAGGGCGTCATCTCCGCTCGTATCCGGGAGGTCACCTCTCGTCTGGCTGAACTGGAGGTATGAGCTCTTTTTTCCTATTATCTTCACTCCATCTATTAAGCCAGTTTTATACGTTGTCCGGTTTTGAAAGTCCAGTAAGGTGTTAATTCCTGTTCTATCCCTGTGAATGGCTACCTTAACTTTATCTTCTTTGTGCAAGTTGTAAGTAGCTTGCATGGATCTCACCAATTGTGCACTCCTCTACAAGGACAGGCTCTTGCAAGTCGCTTTTCATGCTAGTAACTAACATTTACAATGTTTTCCCCCTCAGAAATGTAATGGTCCATTTAAGAAGGCACTTGGACCGGACGCTGTTGCTCACTATTTTCCGCGGTCTTACCGACTAATGGAGGAAAGATCTACTTTGACAGATTAAACAACGGAATGGATTAGCGAATCAATGAGAGAGTTCGCGTTCCTATTGTTTGCATGGATAAAGGACAAAACTTGTCAATCACCAGAATAGTTGGTTTATTATCTTGAACTTTCAAATTCTTACTAGAGTTTATCTCCAGAGGCAAGAATAGCAACAAAAAGGGAGTACACATCAATCAACTGTCAGTGACTCACATCTGGACGTGACTGCACAGGGTTCTTTACACAGGCACCAATGCGATATATCGATTATATATATGTTTATTATGTCAGTTTACAGGCAAATTGATTAAGTTCCAATCCGTGGACTAGGCTTCAATAAATTCTCTGTTCGTCTTGTTTCCAGTGTGGGCGAGTATTCTGACGGCTGCGAAGTTGAACTGATGACTTGTTTCATAGGTGTAAGCAGCAACTTACGATAATTATATTGCCCCGTCATGCAGACAGTTTATGTTCATGTATGCACGATCCGAGCATGCGTTCAGTTTGACATGTGTAGTTCCAAGGGCAGCTTCGTTGTGGGATTTGATACACTACCCCAGATTGCTCATTGGGATTAAGCCGGTCTTTGATTCTTATAACCTTGCTACGCAAAATAACTTTTGGGTTGGTTTGTGATTCGAACACCTAGTCCCACAGTGATGCGATCCAGAGACGTCCCGGATTAAGTTGGTACTGGCAATTATCAACACGGGCTGTTTATTGTTTGCCCTTCTGTTTCTCATTCTAGTTTGTCATCTATGGGCTTGATTTTTCGTCCCCCTCCCTAATAAAGCCTAGCGTCTGTTGGTTTTGCGCAGCTAACGTTTCATACGTTTAAGTCTTTGCCGTCTGGCAATCTATCCAAGGATTAACTGCCTGTCGGGCGTCTTCTTTGTTTAGTCACTGAAAGCGGACTTTGCCAACTCCATGAACTCGGAGTATGCTTTCTTTGAACAACAGCAGAGTGCCGACCTTGCAGCAACCCTTCGCACCTATGCCGCCCTGCAGGCGAAGCGGGCAGACAGGTGTCGGCGC